CAAGACCAAGAAGGATATGGTCAGGCAGGAACTGTCGGATGCTCTTAGCAAAATTCATCTCGGGTTCGACCTGTGGACATCACCGAATCGACTCGCTGTCATGGCAGTCACGGCTCATTTTCTTGATCGTCAGGGGAAGCAGCAGTCGCGCCTGCTGGCACTCCGACGCCAGCTCGGGTGTCATAGCGGAGAGAATCTCGCGGCGACACTTGGGCAAGTTGTACACGGGTGGAAGATAGAGGATCGAGTCGGGACAGTRATATCGGACAACGCATCTTCCAACGACACCTGCCTTCTGAACTTCTACGGAGATCTTGATGCAGGAATGAGCCTGGTGGACATCTGTGCTAGACGTATGTGCTGCTATGGACACATCTCAAACCTGGTTGCTCGCGCCTTCTTGTATGGCGAAGATTTTGAGGCTTTCGAGGCCGAATCTTAAGTCTTCAACTTCCTCGGCCGCCACGAGGACGATCTACGACACTGGAGAAAGAAAGGGCAGGTAGGGAAGCTCCACAATGTCGTCGAGTTCATAAGGTCTTCTCCTCAGAGGAGTGAGCTTTTCAAGAGGATCTCGCAAGAGAACGACGAAGCACAAGAATATCTCTTGGCGGGCGAGTCGACGGCCGAGCTAGAGGTCGTCATGAACAACGATACGAGATGGAACTCCACTTACCTCATGATCTCTCGAGCGCTCGTCAAGCAGGGAGACATCCGGGCGTTCTTGGTTCATCCAGAGGTAGAAAAGTGGCTACCGGAGGCCGACATGCTGAAGGCAGATGACTGGAGACTCTTAGCAGAAATCAAGCATATCCTTGAGCCATTCTATCTGCAGACTATGAGAACGCAGGGCTGGGGTAGCGAGGGAGGTAATGGACGGCTTTGGGAGGTGATGACAGGTATGGAGTACTTGCTGGAACACCTGGAGGATCGAAAGTTGTTCCATCATGTTGTCCCAGAGGACGCAGGAGGAGAGAATACCGATTCTAAGGTCGAATCAGCCCAAGGGCGACCGGACCGAAATCGGCAGCTTCCTGCCAGGTTCAGAGATTGCGAGATGAATATGCATCCGCGAAAGTCAATGGGGAGCTTTTTACCAGGTCGTGCGTCGGGACAAGGCGATAATGGACCAGGCAAGCCATCAGGATCATCCGGAATCGACGACGTGGGGGAGGATCACCGACGCTATCTGAGACTCTCTATCATAACCGCCTGGCAGAAACTAAATGAGTACTACACTAAGCTTGGAGAGTCACCGTTATTCGCCGCATCCATCATCCTCCACCCGTCGCTCGGCATGAGTTATCTGGAGGTGAATTGGGCGTCAGAGGAGCAACTTGTGTGGGTGAGGGATGCCAAGATTGGGCTGTCTGACTACCTCGACCGCTGGTACCGCTGCAGCCGGCCAGTGGATGAGCAGCAGAAGGCGATTGTGGAGACAGCGACGTCCCCCGTCGTACCACGAAAGACATCTGAAGGTAGCGTGTTCAGGCAATGGGTCAAAAGCAGGACGGCGAAGACTACGGTGATGGGTAGCGAGCTGGAGCGATATCTGCGGCTGGAGCNTTTGATCGGATTTCCGTCGTCTTAAAGGAATGTCACGACGAGGGAGTTTATCGCCGAGCCATGGAAGCAATGTCGCCAGAACCAGGCTTACTCTTGTCTACAAATCCAAAACGCTCMTACAACCCAGTYCCCGACTTGCTCGCGTCTACATAGATTGCAACACTGTTCTTGTCAGCCAAATCACAGCCCCATTTCATGAGCATAGAACCAGCTCCGCGGCGTTGGTAGTCGGGGTGTGCAGCTATGGTATCAAGATCTGAGCAGATCGTGGTTAGTAAAGGTAGCAGTATTGGCTATTGGCGTGGGGCGGTTCCTCACAGTAATGCTTCTGGTCGCCCATGACTCGCAGCCTCTCTTGTTCCTCCCTTGCCATGAAGTCGTCACAAACTTGGCCAGGCTGGTCCTCAGCCCATGGCGGATATCGACGCCCCCGCTCATTAGGCATTGACGTATCCCATTTTGCAGAAGCTACTATACGTGGACGACCGTTGGCTTCTATCGACCCCGGATCGATGACTTTAACGTAACGTTGAAAGGGTTTATGAAGTAGATCGTTGCAGTCGGCATCATCCCACCACTTGCGTACACCTGGCGTATCAGGCCAGATGCATCGGATGCCAGAGTCTGTGAAGGCCGCGAATCACACCTCCGTCAAAAAGGGTACATCTTCTAGGGATATTTCCTCTCGAGAGTTCTCAGGGCTGGCATGTTTTATGACACTGAGATACGGGATGCGCAAAAGAGGACACTTTTTAGATTGAGATTTCTGCATTCTTTCCATTACGCGTCAGCTCTTGGTATACCTTATCTTACCTTATCTTATCTCAGTTTTTCAGAGTCTAACTAGTCCTTTTTGGCCAGCTGCTACAGCCATGCCCTGTGGAGCGAATCTTCCCTGCGTTCTTCCAGGCTACAACCAACAATTCCCCGAACATCGTCGAGAAGCGAGAATGAAATTTTTGGAACAACATCCGCACATTGCATAAAACACTCCCGCTCGTGGTTGTAATGGCTTTGACAGGTCATTGCATCGTCCCCGAGATGTCTTGATGGCCGCAGAGGTTGGGGCACAGCCAAGCCTTTGACATTCTGGGCTCTACGCCCTCTTTCCGATTTTTTCGCACGATTGATATCTGCAGCCTCGGCTGCCCAGACAACATTCGCAGCATCCTGCTGCTTCACATTGAGGGTCAACATACCCTCGCCTCATTCTCGCCTGCAGCTTCACGCTGCCTCCAATCGACCTTGGCAGCTTTGATTGCCGAACATCACCAGCAGCCGTCAGCTACGCGACTTTCTGGGCCTTCAGTTGGCCCCGACCTTGACGTAGGGCCCTCCAGTGGCTCGCTGCCCTTTTCCTTTTCGCAGCTCGAACGCTGCATGACCGATCTCTGCAGTCGTGTACTGCCCAGAGACCCTCTTTCTTTCTCTCATTCTTTCTCTCTTTCGCAGCCTCGGCTGCTGCCCGGAACACGGCCGGGCCCCGACAATTCGTCTC